TGGGGAGGGGGGAGGGGGAGAGGGGAGGAGGGGACGGGTATACACATACACAAAGAGTGCGATGCGCACCATCTGAGGGAGAGACGCACTTGAAACTCGTACTTGGCGGGGGGCAAGGGCAACATACGTAACCTAAACATCTGTACCCCCATAATATCCTGAAATAAAAAAAAAGTTTAAGGGAAGGTTTTATCCTTCGGACCCTCTTAAATGATCTGAAGGATGATAGAGACACAGAAAAACAACGTGTTTGCTTGTTCACAGTTGTATCACAGCAAATAGTAGGTGTTAGATAAAAATGTATTGAGCAGATGTGTGAATTAATGAACGATAAATACCACATATATGCTTCCTTTATCCTCTACAGGAGGGATCAGCAAGATATGGCCCATTGCTTGTTTTTGTAAATAAAGTTTATTGGAATGCAGCCACACTCCTTAATTTACTTATCGTCTATGGATACTTTCGGGCTGCAGTGGCAAAGCTGCGTAGTTCAAACAGAGACATTATGACATGCAAATCCTAAAGTACTTATTGTCTAGCTCTTTACAGAAAAATTTTGGTGACCTCTCCTCCTGGGTAGTGTTTCTCAAACTGGAGTGTGATACACATTGCCCAGAGAGCTTGTTAAAATGGAGGTTCTGATTCACGGGTGACGCCAGCGCTGCTGGCCCGAGGACTGCACGGGGTAGCTGGGAACAAGAGCACTTGGGATAGTGTCATGAAACCAGGGCAGGGCTCACATGTTTGCAGCTTTTTTCTCTTGGTTTCTTTATGTTCATTTATGACTCAGCAGCTCACAAAGCCTGGACCAGACACAGGTGAGGAATAAATCACTTTATTAGGAAAGGTTCAGCATTACGCAATTGTCTTCCCCTAGTTCCTGGGCCTGCACTCCTCCAGCTCAGCCTCACGTCAGACGCTCCTCTCCATGTTCCCTAGATGAATTCTACAGAAGTGTGGGTGCTCATGATTTCTTATCTTTTTAAGTATCTTCTGTGGTCACCCCTTACCCACCTGTCCCTCTGGGCAGCCTCCAGCCCAGCCTCTTTCCTTGTTTTTTCAGCGGCTCTGCAGGAAGCTAAATCTGGAGAAGCAAGGCTACTCCAGCGAGAACCCACTTGGATGGATTCTCCTTAGTCTTCAGGTTGAAAGTCCACACATAGGTGGGTCCCCGCTGACTGGTCTTGTACACGGGACAGGAGTAGACTCTGTGGCGATCCTGCTTATCTGCAGGAATGGCCTTGATGAACATCACAGGCATGGGGGGTGTCAGATCCTTCAGCTTTGCCTCTGTAATAGTGCCAGCCTGAGGACAAAAGCATGAGAAGAGCCATTTTAGATCAGACCCAGAGCCCAGCCCATCAACCTTACCCCTGTCAGAAGATTCAAGGGATGAGAGATGAAGATGGCCCGGCTGCCTGTATGCTTGTCCTCTTCCAGGTCCTCTCGGCAACACATGAGGGAATGCATCTGATATGTGGAAAACACGTTTCTATTTTTTCAGCCTAAATCACTTCTTGAAGCAGAGTTCCAAAAGCTATTTATCATGTACAGATTAATCCCTCTGGAGCTTGATTCTCTCCTAGTTTGTTCATTCATTCATTTCATAAGCATATTGAGTGCAACTATTTGCCAGATGTTGTGCTAGGTGCTGGGGATTTAAAGATGATTAAGACACAGATCCTGCCAGCAAATGCTTTAGATTTTCAGGCTTTGGTTATGTCCTGTTTCTTTTTCTTTTCAGTTTCATATGCAAATTCATCAACCCTCTAGAGGACTGGTCTAGTAGTGATACATCCTCTAGAGCATTTTGACTTTTTGAGCGGAGAACTACATTCTATCCTTACTCATGTAGTAGGGACCTGACCATTCTGTAGCTTTCCAGAGGGGGCCTTCCTGTGATTTTCTGAGATGTCTCAATAGAGCTGTCTGGGGCAATTTTTCCTACTAGTCCTGAGGAACAAAAGGGTCCCTTGGTAAAATAAACTTGCAAAATGGTGCTGCCATACTCTGGACTTGACACTTTACAACATACACAAGCCCATTGAAGATGAGATGTCCTAGCAGAAAAGAAAACAGTTTAACTTTATTTAATCTAGTGTTTCCCAAATTTATTTGACCACAGAACCCTTTTCTTTGCAACCTATTCATTTCCCATGGTACTAGTGCTTTGTGGAACACACTATGGGAAATGTTGATTCAGAGTGATTCACAGATGCTTTGTCTGTGTCCACGTGACTCTAAGCCCCTTATGCTATGGACAGAGTTTGATTTGTTTTCAGGAAATTTACTTGAAGGAAAGAATGTATCTCTTCAGTTTTTTTAGAGGCTGATATAAAGCATGGTGAGTAACAGAACTAAGGTAAATTATGAGGACTCCCTTACCCACCCCCCTCCCAGAATTGAGTGTTTATGGCAAGGAGTGGAAGCAGGGTTAAACTATTTTTCTTTCACATACCATAAAACCAGTGTTTTAAAAGTATATAATTCAGCGGTTTTTAGTATATTACAAAGTTATATAATCATCATCATTGTCTAGTTCCAAAACATTTTCATCACCCCAAAAAGAAATCATTTGCAGTCACCCTTGTCAGTGGGGGATTGATAACTCCAATTATTATGGTTGAATTTCTTTCTCTCTTCAATTCTGTCAGTTTTTTTTTTTTTGTTTTTTTTTTTTGAGACAGAATCTCACTCTGTTGCCCAGGCTAGAGTGCCATGGCATCAGCCTAGCTCACAGCAACCTCAAATTTCTGGGCTTAAGCAATCCTCCTGCCTCAGCCTCCTGAGTAGCTGGGACTACAGCCATGTGCCACCATGCCTGGCTAATTTTTTATGTATATATTTTTAGTTGTCCAGCTTATTTCTTTCTATTTTTTTAGTAGAGACGGGGTCTCGCTCTTGCTCAGGCTGGTCTCGAACTCCTGAGCTCAAACAATCCACCAGCCTCGGCCTCCCAGAGTGCTAGAATTATAGGCATGAGCCACTGTGCCCAGCCTAATTCTGTCAGTTTTTGTTTTGTGTATTTTAGGGACTCTTTTGTTAGGTGCATATACATTTATAATTGTTATATCTTCTTGATGGATTGACCTTTTTATTATCACAAAATGGTCTTTTTTTCTCTATAATTTCTATTTCTTCTGTCTTTTCTCCAGTAACATCTTTTGTCTTATAAAGTCTATTTTGTCTGATATTAGTATAGCCTCTTAACTTTCTTTTGGTTTCTGTTTACATGGCATATCTTTTTCCATCTGTTTACTTTCAACCTACTGGTGTCTTTGAATCTAAAGTGTGTCTCTTGTGAACATAATATAGTTGGATCATGGTGGGGTTTTTAGTTTGTTTTTAAAAATTCATTCTGCCAATCTTTGCTTTTTAGTTGTACTGTTTAATCCATTTACATTTAGTATAATTACTAATAAAGTAGGATTTATGTCTGCCACTTTGCTGTTTGTTTTCTATATGTTTATGTCTTTTTTGTTTTTCTATTCATTATTGTCTTTTTTGTGTTAATAGATATATTCTAGTGTAGCATTTAAATTCCTTATTTACTATATCTTTTTGAATTATTTTCCTAGTGATTGCCCTGGAGATTACAATTAACATTTTAATGTATAAAAGTCTACTTCAGATTAATTCTAACTTAATTTCAATAGTATACAAAAACTTTATTCTTGTATAGCTCCATCCCCTCTTCCTCCTTTGTGCTGTTTGCATCATTCGAATTACATCTTTGTACATTTGATGCCCATCAACACAGATTTATAATTATTGCCTCACAGAATTGTCCTTTAAATCAGATAGGAGAGAAATAAAAATTATAAACAAACATGCATTTATACTATCTTGCATATTTGCACATGTAATTACCTTTACCAATAGTCTATTTCTTTATATGGGAGTGAGTTACTGTACAGTGTGTTTTCCTTTCAGTCTGAAGGACTCCCTTTGGTATTTATTGAAGGGCTGGTCTGGTAGTGATACATTCTGTCTGTTCTTAAAGTCCGAGAATATCTTACTTTCTTCTTCATTTTTGAAGATAATTTTGCTGGATATAGAATTCTTGGGTGGACAGTCTTTTATGTTCAGCACTTGAACTATGTCATCCCTCTGCCTTCTGGCCTTCATGGTTTCTGACAAGAAATCAGCTATTATACTCATTGAGGACCCCTTGTAAGTGATGCACCACTTTTCTCTTGCTGCTTTTAAGATTCTCTCTTCATCTTTATCTTTCACCAGTTTGATTATAATATGTCTAGGTATGGATCTCTGAGTTTATTCTACTTGGATTTCATTGAGCTTCTTGGATGTGCAGATTAATGTTTTTCTTCAAATTTTCTCTTCAGATATTCTTTCTGTCCCTTTATTTCTCCTCTCCTTCTGAAACTCCCACTATGTACATGTTGGTATGCTTGATGGTGTCTCATAGGTCTCTGAGACTTTGAATTTTTCTTCATTCTTTTTTTTTCTGTTTTTAGACTGGATAATCTCAATGGACCTATTTCCAAGTTTGCTAATTTTTCTGTCTGTCCAAATCTGTTGTTGAATTTGTCTATTGAATTTTTATTTCAGGTATTATACTTTTCAACTCCAGAGTTTCTACTTGGTTCTTTTAAAAATATGCATAATTTCTCTCTCTGTATTAATATCCTCTACTCAGTGATACATTGTTCACATAATTTTCTTTAGCTATTGGACATGATTTCCTTTAGTCCTTGGAACATATTTGAAATAGGTGATTTAAAGTCTTTATTTAGCAAGTCCAGCATTTGGACTTCTTCAGGGATAGTTCCTGTTGATTGCTTTTTTCCTTGTGTATGGGCCCTTCTCTTTTCTTTGCATGTCTCATAATTTTTGTTGAAGTCTGGACGTTTTAAACAATGTGGCCACTCTGGAAATCTCTCTCTCTGTAGGATTTGTTGCTGTTTGTTTGTTTAGTGACTTTTCTGAATTGATTCTGTAAAGTTTATATTCTTTGTCATGTATGACCACCGAAATGGCCTGCTCAGTTAGCTTAGTGGTCTTCAAATAATTAGACAGAGATTTTCTTAAGTAACTGGAACCAATAAGTCTCAAAGTCTTTGTTGAGGGGCTATGTGTGTTGGAGCATACCTCCGATGCTCAACCAGACAGTTTAAAACTCTGCTAACTTAGACTTCACTTCTCTGCTTTCACAGAACCTCAAAGTTAGCTAGAAGTGAGAGTGTATGGCCTTCTCAAGTCTTCCTCGAGCATGTGCACAGCTCTGGTTATGTGCACAGCTCTACACATAGGGATAGCCTTTTACATTTTGAGGTTTTCCAAGCCCCCTATGGACATCCCGCTTCCTAGCTTGTCCTTTTGAACTTTTTGGTTAGCCTATTATTTGCTCCGCTGTTATCTACTGTCTCAGGCAAGCTACAGTGTTAAGCAGTTGTCTTTGTTTTTCAACACATGCACATGGGGAAAAGGTTGTTGCCTTGGTTGAGTTCCAGCTCATATCAAATAAGACAGATTTGTGAGTGTGGTCTTCCAGAAAACCACTAGAGAGACAAAATAATAACAATTTTTGGGTGGGAGAGGGTTGAGAGATCAAAAATTACGTATTAGGTACAATGTACACTATTCTGGTGACGGGTACACTACAAGCCCTGACTTTACCATTATACAATTCATCCACAGAACAAAAAACACCTGTGTTTCCAAATACATTGAAATTTTAAAAAAGATAATCAAGAAAAATAATGACAACTTTCTGGGAATAGGGCTTTGAAGGTGCTCCCACTCCATTGTGCCGTCTCCAGTGGCTGCCAGGCTGCTGGTTTTCACTGTGATTGTGGCCTATTGGTTTCTTGAGGCTACCTCAGAGCTGGGGATGGGGTGGAGATGGTAATAGGGAAAGTTAAAAGGCTGTAAAGTTTATCCTTACCAAGATTCAGTTGTTTTGCTTAAATAAACACTTGCTTGGATTGCTGGAAGCCTTTGGTTTAATTTCCAGAGTTCTGAAAAAGTTGATTTTGACGTTTTTTTTTTTTTTTTGCCAGTATTCTCATTGTTTCATGGAGGAGAGGATTTTTGGAGGTCCTGCTTCTTTCATTTTTGCTGACAACTTTTTGGGATAGAACTTTTAAGAACAAGAGCGCCTGGTGAACAGGTACTGATTTTTGGAAAGTCTTTATTATTTACAATCAGATATGAAAAATGGGGGCTGATGATTGGAATAGATATCCTTTTGTTTCCCCCACAGTGTCATTGCCCTTCCTCTGAGCTTTTCCCCTACTTTCCTTTTTGTACTTCTTGCATTTTGTTTTGTTTTGTTTTTTTTTTTGATTCTGGCTGTGTCTTGCCCTAGGCCACCCTACATCTGACACAATCCATGTGTGATCTCCACTGACAGAATCTTGTGCAAATGTTCAGGTGGAAAGAGGGAAGTCACCTCCTTCTCAAGATTCAGGCTGTCTGAACACTGTCCCACTTTACTGTCCTTGTTAGCTCTTGGATTGGTTTCCTAAGGCTGGTGTGACAAATTGCCACAAATGTGGTGGTAAAACCACAGAAATTTATTCTGTCACAGATCTGGAGGCTGGAAGTCCTAAGTCAAGGTGTGGGCAGAGCTGGTAAGCTCTGAGGCAGAAACCAACCCAGGCCTCTCCTAGCTTCTGGTGGTTGCTGGCAATCCTTGGCGTTCCTCGGCTCGTAGAGGCATCACTCCTATCTCTGCCTCCACCTTCACAGGGCATTCTCTTCTGTGTCTCCATGTGGCCTTCTTATAAGGGCACTAGTCACTGGGGTTAGGGTCCATGCTAATCCAGTATGACCTTATCTTAACTAATTACATCTGCGAAGACCCTATTTCTAAATAAAGTCTCATTCTGAAGTTCTGGGTAGACATGAATTTTTTGGGGGTACTACTGAATCCAGGACATCTCTGTGCATATTCACATGACCTCCTGAGATCTTCCAGATCTTGTCACAGTTTTAGTCCGTTAGCTCAGTGTTGACTGCTAGGACTAGGTTAGCATCACCGGCCAAGCAGGATATTTGACTAGGCACTCTTTCCAGATCTTGTGTATAACAAGCATAAACTTGCTCTAGAGTTATCCATCCTTGTTTATTTCATTTATCCCAGCCATCTGCGCCTGCTTGCCAGTTTCTTATCCATGACAAAACATCTTCTCTATCTTATGGTGACTCCAGTTTTTATTAGCCCTCAGTGAGGAATCCTTTCAAAATGTCACTTTAAATGACATCTACTGGCTCCTCTTTGCTGACATAGAACAACATGAAAGTCAAAAGGGATTCCTGCCTTTTGAGAGCTCATGAATGAGGAAAGCAGACCAGGGAGGTGAAATGATACCCCAAGACACACAGCAGCAAGGACAGCTGACTCCAACACCTTTTGAGTACTGTCTATGTGCCAGGCACTGTTCAAGTGTCTTACATATTAACTCATTTAATTTTCACAATGAATCTGTTCTCTCATATAGCAGTTGAGATCTGGAGAGGTGAAAGTATATCTAAGGTCACAGATACAGTTTCTGGTTCAGATCCAGCCAGTCTGGTTCCAGAGCCCAACCTGTTAACCTCTCCAGTCTGCTCCCTCTGCAAAGCCTGTGTGCTTTGCACCTCCCCTGGCTGGATGAAAATGGCCTGATGGCCTCAAGAAAGAAAGGTTATCTAGGTAAAAAGATGCAGAGGCGCCCCTTTAGTAATTGCACTTTATGGGGGCAGTGCGTATGTGCATGTGCAATGTGTACTCCAGGAGTCCTTTGGCTCATCCTGGGCTTTACCTGTATATCCCAGCGGGCACCTTCCATGAAGAGGCCGTGGACGTAGGCCCCTTCCCGAGGAGGGCTCCTGAACTCTTCTCTGTTCTTCTTTGTCACGTCACATTGCAGGGCCATCTGGTCCAGTGGCCACTCGTTCTTGCGGGCCATGGACTGCATGATGGCGGTCAGGAAGGACTGGGGGTTGAAGAAGCCTGTGAGCCACACAGTGGAGGGCATTGCGAAGTCCCCCGTCCAGGCCTCCAGCTCCCTGATTCGGTTGAGGAGATCCAGAAACCAGGCTGCCAGGCCTGCTGTGGAAGGGTAGGCTCGCCTGGCCCAGGGCTCTGGCACCGTATCTAAGTACAGGGCATTCTGTAAGTTCTCCATGTCGCTGGTCATGGTCAGCTCCCCCTGAAGACAAAGAGTGAGAGGGGAGGGAGTGAGGGGCTGGAGGTGGGGCATCCCTGGAAACAACCAGCCTCAGAGACCTCTGGCTCATGGCAGCCAGGCGGATGGGAGATGACTCCAGGCGTGGGTGACACAATGACTGTTTTTGTCTTGTACTTGCTTTGCAAGGTTTATCTCACAGAGGCTGGTCCTTGAGAACCCTCCCTGCTCTGGTGATGTCAGTCTTACCTGTCTACTGACATGGTTTCAAAAGACACAGTTGCTTTCCATAGTGGACCTTAAACCACCTGTGCGTTCTGTGCTGCATGACCCTACCCTAAAGTTTGAGTTCCACCATTCCCATGCGTGCAGCTTAGAAACCCAAGAAGCAAAGATCTACACTCCCCCAAATCAAGGATTTCCTCTAGAAATCAAGCTACTAGATACATAGTCAATTTTAAGGGATCCTCTTTCAACTGCTAGATGGAATTTGTAAAGAAAGGTTTACCCTGAAAACCATCTTTAAATTAAACTTCATAACTTTGGCTCTGCCAAAAATCTGAGGCACTTTCTCGAAGACCCCATTTCTGCTGTAATGGTTTCTGTAACAGGTGTTAGTGTTTCCGACGGGGTTTGGCTCTCTCACTAAGGACAGACTGCTAAAATGTGAGAGAAGTCTCCACCTGCATTGGACTTAGAGTCACCCTGCCTGTGGGACGGGAGACTGCCATCCTGGAGTACTGGGTCCAATTCTTTCTCCTAACTTTTGAAACTATTAGAAAGAGTTGAGCGTACTTACCTCAAGATGAGCATATTTCAGTGTCCAGAGTGGTAGCCATAAACTCCTGATTTATAAGAAACAGACTAAACTAATAACTTCTTTATGAACTTCCCATATTGGGTGCAGTTATCATAGATACACTTTCTTTTGTTTTTTTTTTTCACTCTTTTTTAAACTTGTTTTTTTTTTTTAATTTAGGTTTTCCGATGAGGACTGGAAAGCCTGCTAGACAAATTCTAAGAGAGCTGTAACACTCGGATACCCGTTCTATGCTGTAGTGTCTGGTGGCTGGACTACTTTAAGATATTAGTACCTTAATACTTTAAAGAAAAGACAGACATCCCTAATCAGACCAGTGCCAGATATGTCAGCCTGAATTACAGATTTTTTTTTCCCCTTGAGTAAAAGCACTTTATTATAGGGCATTATTATTATTTTCTATAATTGTATCCAGTGTGTCTACTCAGATGTATCGTGGTGACTGACCAGAGCAGTGTGTTGTGAAGGAATCTGAAGCCACATCCAGGCTCTGTAGTGGTCTAAGTGCCCTGTATCTGCCACCAAAGTTTATCATTTCAATCACACCCAAATTAGGTGAATGAATTTATTCTGGTAAACTTCCTTAAGAGTCTGCTGAAATTAATACCATTATTAGGTTAAAATAGAAAAAATTGTTCCCTTTGTTTAGAATCTCTGCTTTAGTGTATACAGGCTTTTAAAAGGAAGAAGTAATATACTGCTTGTATATCTCAGCCCAAATCCAGCTTCTGTATGATTTTTATGTCTGCATTTGTGACAATTCATTATTATATGCAATTTATAACTTATGTGATAATTTCCCATAAAATAGCTGATTATTTAATAAAGTGACATTGAATATAAAGAACAAATTTAGTGCAAAGGGCAAAATAAATGATAAAAGAAGGTCATACGCTTTGTTCTATGAGACCCATCTGTGTAACTATTTCTTGCCTTACTGCACTGTCTGGGACCTCCATTACAGTGAGGAATAACAGTGATGAGGTGGACATCTTTGCCTTGTTCCCAAACTGAGAGAGAAAGCATTCAGTCTTCAACATCCAATAAGTTTTTCTTAGATGTCCTTTAAGTTTAGGAAATTTCCTTTCATTTCTGTTTCTCTGATACTGTAAGATAAAGATTTGGTGTTAAATTTTATCAAATGCCTTTTCTGCATTTATGAAGATGAAGATGATAATATGATTTTCTTATTATGATGAACTCATTAATATGATAAACTCATTGATTTTTTTCTTTTCTTCTTTTTTTTTAGAGAGACAGAGTCTCACTCTGTTGCCCAGGCTGGAGTGCATGGCCCGATCATAGCTTACTGTAACCTTGAACTCCTGGGCTCGAATGATACTCTCACCTCAGCTTCCTGAGCAGCTGGGACTACAGGCATGTGCCACCACATCGGCCTAATTAAAAAAACTTTTTTTTTTGTAGAGATGGGGTCTTACTATGTTGCTCAGGCTGGTCTCAAACTCCTGACCTCAAGTGATCCTTCCGCCTCAGCCTCCCAAAGTGCTGGGATTACAGGCATGAGCTACCACACTTGGCCCATGGATTGATTTTGAATGTTAAAACCAGTCTTGTATTCCTGGGATAAACCTATTTGCCCATGGTATATTATCTTTTTCTTATATTGTGTGATTTGATTTTGTTAACATTTTGGTAAGGATTTTTGCCTTTGTGTTTATGAAGAAAGTTCATCTGTCATTTTCTTTTCTCATAATATCTTTGACTTGGGTATCAAGTTAATTCTGTCTTCACAAAATTTGTTGGGAAGTTTTCTCTCTGCTTTTTTTTTTTGTTGTTGTTAAATAGACTATTTTTTAGGGCAGTTTTAGTTTCACAGCAAATTGAACAGAAGGTACAGAGATTTCCCATATATCTTCTGCCTCCACACGTGCATAGTCTTTGCCACGATCAACATCCCCCACCAGAGTGGTACATTTTTGACGAGTGATGAACCCACATTCACGTCATTATCACCCAGAGTTCATAGTTTACATCAAGGTTTGCTCTTCGTGTTAGATGTTCTCTGAGGTTTGGGCAAATTTATAATGACATGTATCCACCATTCTAGTATTATATAAATATAGTATCATACGGTATCATTATAGTATAATGACATGTATCCACCAGTATAGTGTCATATCCAACATTATTACTTCAGTATCCTAAAATTTCTCTGGGCTCCACCTTACTCACGCCTTCTTCCCCCTTAATCTCTGGCAAACATTTATTTTTTTACTGCCTCCATAGTTTTGCCTTTTATAGAATGTCATATAGTTGGAATAATACAGTACGTAGCCTTTTCAGATCGACGTCTTTCATTTGGTAATATGCATCTAAGTTTCCCCATATCTTTGCACAACCTGATAGCTCATTTTTTTTAGCACCTACTAATATTCCATTGTAGGGATGTACTGAAGTTTATTAATTTGTTCACCTACTGAAGGACATCTTGGTTGCTTCTGAGTTTTAGTGATTATGAATAAAGCTGCTGTAAATATCTGTGTGCAGGTTTTTGTATGGTGCTTTAAAAAAATTAAATCAAACTTTTTTTTTTTGAGATGGGGTCTCACTATGTTGCCCAGGCTGGTCTCAAACTCCTGGGCTCAAGTGATCCTCCCACCTCAGCCTCCTAAGCGGCTGGAATTTCAGGCATGTGCCACCACACCCAGCTAAATTTTTGATTTTGAGAGAATCATAGATGCACATGTAGTTTTAAGATATAATACAGACAGATCCTGTGTACCCTTTACCCAGTTTCCCCTAATGGTAACATGTTGTAAAACCACAGTACAATATCATAACCAAGATATTCACACTGATATAGTCAAGATACAGAACATTTCCATCACCACAAGGATGCCATGTATTGCTCTTTTATAGCCACACACACTTCCATCCTGTCCCCACCCTTATTTAAACCCTGAGCAACCACTAATCTATTCTCCATTTCTATTAATTTGTCATTTCAGAGATGTTATATAAATAGAATCATAGAATATATAACCTTTTGGGATTGGCTTTTTTATTCAGATCAATTCTTTGGAAATTCATCCAGGTTTTTACATATATCAATAGTTTATTCCTTTTCATTACTGAGTAGTATTCCATGGTATGTGTGGTAGGCAGAATAATAGCCTCCCCCCATAGATGTCTGCATCCTAATCCCTGGGACCTGGGACCATGTGACCTTACATGGCAAAGGGGACTTTACAGATGTGAGTTAAGGAGTTTAAGATGAAGAGACCATCCTGGATGGTCTGTGCTCTCTGGTCTGTGTCTCCTCATTTCAGCAAGACTGTGGGGCTCTTTCGGGCTCCTGCTCCCTGAGCTGTAGCCTGGAAGCTGCCTCCATCTTGTGCGACGAAGGGCTCACATTTCTTGTTTCCTTTCTTTCAAGTATCGTAGTCTTATGCTACCTGTCGTCTGGTATCTGAAAACTGATGTTTTTCATAGTTTGTCTGATTTTCTAATTATTTAAAGTGGAAAGGTAAATCTGGTTTGTTGGCCATAAGCAGAAAACCATCACTTTTTAGCACCACCTCAATAATACTTTTCATTGATTACTATCACAGTTGTAAAATTTGCTTTTTAAATCAGTACTTTTCCCTGTTTAGGGGGGAAAAAATCCTCTAAATGTGTAAAAGGAATTATTCAAAAACGTAAACTCACCATGACTAATCCACGCCACTAACTTTTAATGGGCTGATTATAGTGTGTGTGTGTGTGTAATTTCCCAAATCCCTGATTTAAAAAGTCAAGCCCGTTGACTTCACAGGCTACGCAGTATTTGTAGCTGTGAGCAAACAAATTAAACAGAGAGACATATACTGAGGATGTAGTTGACTTATCTCTCTCTACTTAGACCCGCTCTCCACAGCAAACAGAGAGCTATACTAGTTTTTTTTTCTCTCCCAGAAATGTACAGCATTTAGAAAAGAGTCCGCATTTGAGAGTTTGCAGTTTAGCCGAGGAAGCAGAGTTCGTATTTGTGGAAAAGCCTTGAGTGACGACTAAAGCATGCAGGCACGAGTGCACATTAACCCAGGAGCGGTGCTGGGTCTGCGAGCGGGGGAGTGTACAAGAGTAGGGTAGCCACAGTCAAGTGGACTTGGTCACGGGAAGGCTTATTTAGAGGATATGTTTACAGGTGGGCTTCTAGGAGGGACAGAGCCTTCGCCGGGGGCAGAGGCCGGGATGGCTATTG